GATTTATTTTTTCATTAAGTCAGTAATGGCGATTTTCCATTGTGATTGGCTTTATAAATTTACCTTCATGCATACATAAAGTTAAATAAAATTAACTCCAAATCTCTTTTTAAATGCCAGGAGAAAGTACCAACGGTCGGAGCTCAATACGAAAACAAAAGGGTTGTATCCGATATATCCCGGGACTTGGTCCTGAATACTAAGCAGATTGTTTGTGCTCAGTAAACTAACAAACAGGTCTTAGAGAGGTTCTATAAAACCACTCTTGCATTTTTGAAGTTTCCCGAAAATATTTTCTTTAAACAATTTCATATTGATAAACAATCTGCGCTAAATTGATGGAGAAAATATTTTTCAAGCATTAGGCTCTAAAAGTAACATGTATAAATAAAGAAAGAAAGTATTTACCATGCAAGAAAGTTTTAAGCGTGGAACTAATTTGCTACTTGTGGAAGTTGGGTAGGAAAAGTTTACCTTCAGCAAGTTTGGCGCACAATGGAACAGCGAAAAGCTTCAGCGGTAGGCGGTCCGTTGTACTTCTCAGAAAAAGGTTGCCCCAACTTGAACTTCGAAAGCCTTCAGCGTTGTCCTCCAATTACTGGCAACAGACCATCAAAACTGTGCCATTTGATTGCATTCTTACTTTTTCACCTATGCGATCCTATCAATTGACTAAGAAGGTGAACAACTATCCTATTGAACACAAACATAAACTTTTTAACAACTTAAATTAAGAGTATTTTTACCTCTTGTGTGAATTTTTTTATCTTAGAGGGTTTGGATTTACTTTAGACATTATGTGTTACTCTCTCGTTCTTTTTACGAAGACGTCGAAGGTTATTTTTATGAAGCTCGATATTATTCAATCATGAGAAATATGCGTTACTAAGATAATAAGGTTTAATACTAAATATGGTTTTAAATCCACCACCTTAAGCATGAGAATTTGGATACAGAAAAAACTCCTTATCTTGTCCTATATACTATAATCGCCATTCGTTTATTTATTTATTAATATCAACGGATACACCATTTACAAAATATATGTGTTTTAAGCACATGAGCAGAATGAAAAGATTAAATAATAAGAAAAGTTACATAATGACCATGAAACAAAGCAGCATTGCAACAAAAATAATAACAAGACAACAACGTAACAACAATAACAGATAATAACATTAACAAAGTATTGTACAGATAATAAAAAAATATGTAATTTTGATTTGGACTTCAGAAAAAGCATATAGATTTTGAAAGTACAACAACAAATATCTCCTCAAGATTTAACAATATATAAACTATGATGACAATACGTTCTGTGAAAAATTAACAACACACAACAATAAATCTATAAATGAATAACAAGAATGAAAGAGATTTTGGAACAAAACAAACATACATCAGCTACAAAACAGGCATAACAAAGATAATGTTAGAGGATTTCCTTCTGAAGGAAGACAACTGTTCGTTGAAGAAGTCAACTTGTGATCCGACTTCGTTTCATTCATAGTTTAGAATGAAAAAGTTTAGCTTTTAATCAAATCCAAATATTATACTACTTTTTCATTTCCTAGAGTTCGAAAGAATGAAAAATCAAAATAATACCGTCCATTTATATCATATTTTATATAACAATAATTGATACATGGCTTAAAAATGCTTATATACGAATACATCAGATGAAATATTAGTGACTAGGTCAAGTGTATAAAACAATCGAGGAAATGCGTTTAGTTATGAGTAGAAAAGGGTTCTCACAGCTTGCGGGCTGCAGGCATGTATTTGACAGGTTAATGGTCGGAAGTTTATATACGGCCTACATTAAGTTTTTACAAAGGATACTGCCTTTCCTACTTTATGTATGTTGCATTTAGAAAAACCTTACTTTGCTTTGAACTTTTATTCTGTTGGATTAATCCGTACAATAGATAGGTAATATTGTATGTCATTAGGGAAATTAGCACAGTCTGTGTTGGGCTTACAAACGTTTCATACTAGGCTATATAAGTTAAAAAGAACAATATTAGTTATTCATTATTAAGCGTGCCAAAGCCTTAACATAAATACAGTATAACAAGAGGCAGGCTAAAGAGTTAATATATAGTACAACCATCAATACTACTATATTTTTATTTTGATATTAAGTAGTAACACAAAGACTACCTATATCCTTTATAAAGTAAAAAATCCATGGTTGGCTGCCTCTTAATCCTATTATTACTAACTGAAGCACAGCAGACGCAGATTTTACTTGGCATTGGTTGGAGGTATTTCGAGGCAGAGATACAGTTGAAGACTAACTATACAACTTGGGGAATGTTTAGCCACAAACCCTGTAAACTTCGAAACACGTAACTGTTGAACCAATCAAAATGATTCACTAAAATTATAGTACAAATTCAGCATGCTCAGATTGTCGTTAAAAAGTCACGCAGTGGACAGCTGCGATGGAAACTGAGTAACGTAATAGTTAAAAGCTTTAACTATTGATTAATTTGAAACGCATTTGTTTTCCCTTAAGATACCGATTCCTTAGTTTAATGCTGACCCAAAAATATTATGTTTTTCTTTTAAACGTGTTATAAAATATATTTAACGTGAGTATTGCGTCTAGGTACACTTAACATTTTCAATCAGATTTACGTAGCCTATTCAGATCTACTGGTGATTGGTGACGTAGCGGTAACCAAGAAACAGCAAACTTAATAAAACAATTAATTTTTCAAACTATATGCTAACCAAGATTACGTTTCCATTTAGTATGTTGTATATAGGTTCAGGACTATAGCGTGAAGATAACTAAGGCACTCCAACTATCTATCAAGCAATTATACTAGAGCGTATTAACCATAAACCAAACTGGGGGAACTTTCGCAAGAAAGATAATCCGCCGTTTAGAAGGGGAGGATCCAGCAAAAGCCTCAAAGCACAGATAGCGCCGCGTCGTAACTCAAACTGAAGCTGTAATTAGGCATTGATCCAGCCCCTAGAGGCACCTATCTCACCTATGTGGCTAAACCATGGCTTACGATGTGATTAGCCAAAGTATTGCACCATACCTCTCATTACAAATATGAAACTACAGTGTCGTGAAATTTTGTATGTGTACCTGTATTTTATATACAAAGATACAGAGTTCCGATTGTCCCGCCAAAGTTTTGTTTATTGAAATAAATTAAAAAGTTTTTTTTTTTCAGTGGATTTAAACACAGGTTATAAAAACATTTAAATGTTGGATTCTTTCTTCTGAACGACTAATAGTAATCTACGATTTTGTGATTTTTCTTAATCTCTATTCAATACCACGCATTTTCGCAGAAGATAAAGTATGTACTTCAGTTTAAATTAACAAGCTCGGTTGAAAATATGATAGTTTTAGGTCACTTTTCCTAAAAGGCTTTTGGATTGGGACAAACCCAAGTGCGCATGCACCGGTCCCCGGGTTCAGGGTTTTATCCAAGAAAGATCTGCACTATGGTTTATAAACAATATTTTAAATACGGTAGGGCTTTTCAAAACTTTTGATGTGACAACAAAATTTATTTTAATTCACTTAGTACATCTTAACCGTTAAACTTCGGGGAAATATAATATGGTACGTATTTTAAATTGTAGTGTGCGAGGACAAGGCAAATTCTCCCATTTTACAAGCGGAAGTACCTTATATTTCTTTATTGTGAATTTGCAGAATACCTTACAATTCCTTACGAATTCGTGATCTCGACTAAATAAGGAATTGTATATTGAACTGGAAACTACATTTAGGTACATTTGGACAATGGGACAATCTAGATTTTGAAACTGGGATACTTTGAGTTCCACCATTAAATTAACTTATTCATGCCAAACACTAATATTTTGGATAGGTTATTTTCCTTAGATAGAAATCTTCGAATTATAAACTAATTTGAACCGTTTTAAAAGACATAACATGAATGAGTAACACCGTATTTAGGATGATAAAAAAAAACATAACTAAACCCAAATTCTTGAGAATCGGAAATATCTCCAAAGGCTTATTCTTTCCATGTCGATTAGTTAGTTGAACCCACTGATGAAATTAATTAATGTTGTAAATAGTTCAAAGACTTATTGGAGACATTTTAAAATGAGTGCTTTGTAGTTAATGACATTCAAACCTAAATATTATAAAATATCTTTTTGGATTACTTTGCTTAATAACAGAAAAAAGCTTGCAGAAATAAAACAAATTTTCTATAGTGACAATTGCATCAATAAATTATGCCTGCATGGAACAATAGTTATGGTCATATAGAATAGTAACAAATGAATCCACCCTTTAATATAACAATGTAGAATTTCCCTCGGGTATTGAAATTCAGAACAAGACTCAAACCACATTAAGTCTTTGGTTTATTGAGTTTTGCCTACTTATTTGTGAGAAACATAAGTTTTCTCTTAGCTGAACGTGTCTATTATCTAGTTATATTACGTGACAATTTTGTGTCGTGGCTTATAGCTTATAATAATTTATACATACAGTAGATTGCATGGTTCAAAATAGTTCAACGTATTTTACTTAATCTACTAAAAGCTGTTTTACTATAGCTGTTGTACGTTTTATTTTAATATTTGGATGACTTCAACTCTCACCTAGTCTTTTTTTACTAATAATAAACAAGTGATATAATTATATATTATCAATAAATAAACGAAAAATCAGGAACGGTACGTACAAAACGGGAAAAAGTAAATTTTGAAACTTATTAGTCTTTTAACTCGTTCTACACTTATCTGTAAATCCTTAGCATTGTAACATTTTTTACATGCATATTTTAAATGTGTTACCTGTATTCTTAGTTTCGAAGCTGTTTATTGTTTAAAACATTTCCCGTAGTTTGCTAGATAAAAAAAACAAAACACTATGTTAACTATCAAAGTGGTATTTAGATAAACGGAATAGCAGTAAATGTGAACGAGCAAGCTGTAACTAGTTCTTTGATGTATGGTCTATAATAGTTACATGGTTTGTTGCACAGGAGCTATGGAGGAGGTGAGCGCAGTGTTGGGCCGAGGTGCTGAGCTGCCATGCAACATCAAGCCCAGTGGCCGCGAGGACAGAGTCTACATGGTCCTGTGGTTCAGAGAGGGAGCGGGCAAACCGCTTTACAGGTACAAATAAAACTACAGCTCTTTATTGTACTATCTAAAAGTTTGAACATACCGATGGTAAGCAGGCGTAACAAATGGAAAATGTTTTCACGAGTGCATCTCTTAAAGACTATTTATTTGCCTATACATGAACAACAATGTAGGTTTTTTTTGTTCTACGTAGTTAATAAAAGCGGATCAGCATATTCTTGGCTGAAATAAACTAAGGTAAATATTTTGTGCCTTAGGCACGCTCGTTTGGACTATAGGAAGGAAGCCAATCACTAAATCATTACTTAAGAAAGGCCGCACGCAACCAAGCAGTCTTTAAACTCAATCATGAATGAGATTAGGGTGGTGTGGCTGCGATTTCTTGCGTTGTTTAGTTACTCATTGTGCTGCTGCTTATTTTGTCTGGCATCTAGAACTTGTATTAATACCCAATGCTCTAATACGTATGGTACCACTTTTGCACTTGAAACGATTGAACTAGTGAAACTACTTAATTGAGTTTTCTCAAGGCAGTATTAGTAACATAAAAACTCTCGATCATTTGATGAATAAACCTCAAGTTAAGTATGATGTAGAGGATTTGCCGCTGATTTACTGTAAAGCCCGGTGTGTAAGGTGAGAGGCCGGGTGATGTGTCACGCACCATGTCCACTGTTACCGGCGGCACCGTGTGTCAGGGTGTTTAGTCAACGGATGATCGAGTGAACTAGGTGACCTCATCTATATTTATTACTGCAGACAATGAAATACTCCCCCGTTGCGCCGCTGCACGCTACCCTGAGTCATGCTGCCAGCTGCTGACTCATTCATGAGTACCTTACCTCACTTCCGCCACCACTGCCACTCTCGCCAACGTTCTATAATGTATTCAACTAGTCCAACACACTGATAGAACCGAAGCTTCCACTACCACTTCTATACGATTACGAATAGATCTACTGAAGTAAAAATCTCTCTTAGGACCACTTGAAAGGTTAAGTTCTAATCTAGAGTAATGTAAAGCAAATTGTTTAATGGCTGAAGTGCTCATAAAATAGTTCTATTACAGGCTAATCTTGATAACTAGTCTTTGGCCTTAGTCTACAAAAGAGTTACAATAAAAAGTTCACCCATCCCGCATTAGTATTTCACTAAAGTTCGTTCATACAATGTTACAATTAATAGTTTTTATCAACGATGTCACCATAGCTTTCGTCATGTGAGTTTCATTAAGATCGTCCTCTATACTCTTCACCATCATTTATGAATCACTAAAATATTAAATATATTTACTATAGACGTGTATGGCAGATTACTTACTCTTCTTGATGCTCTGTCTGTGAAGGTATGACGTTAGAGGCCGTTCGTTCAGCGACGCCGTCATGTGGTCCGACGCGAACGCTTTTGGTCCCAGAGCGTTCTTCGTGACCGGCAAACAGCCGGCCGCTGCCTTACAGCTGGACGCCGTACAACTCAAGGACGCCGGTGTCTACCGCTGCAGAGTGGACTTTAGGAACTCTCCTACTAGGAACTTCCAAGTCAAGCTCACTGTCATAGGTGAGGCCAGCAAACGTACTTGTAATTGAAGTTAAATTAATGAGTTGATAATACAGGGTGAATAAAAAGTCAAGACCCCCCGTCTAATATTTTTCCAAGTAAATATACAGAGATATCCTTTTGGGGTTCGTGCAATCTTAGCAGGAAGTTTCATTTTGTGATTTTGAAATTTTTGAGTGTCCCCCCAAAAGGGGAATTTAGGGGGCAACTCAAATATTTTAAATGTAAACCCCCTTCAAGTGACACCTCATTTTGAAGTGTTTACAAAAACTTAAAGAATGGTGAAAACCAGAGTTCGCTATCTCTTCTCTATCCAAAATGGTAGCCCGTCAAATGTTGTGGAAAATTAATGGTAAAATTGGTTCGTAATGGTAATATTGGCTACCATTTTGGATAGAGAAGAGATAGCGAACTCTGGTTTTCACCATTCTTTAAGTTTTTGTAAACACTTCAAAATGAGGTGTCACTAAATGGGGGTCTACATTTTAAATTTTTGAGTGTCCCCCCAAAAGGGGGGATTGGGGGGGCAACCCCCAAAAGGATATCTCTATATATTTACTTGGAAAAATATTAGATGGGGGGGGGGTCTTGACTTTTTATTCACCCTGTATTTGCTGCAACACAAGGATTCATGTAAACTTTAGAGACATAAGTTCTTGCCGATGGTTAACTTGTGTAGAAAATTGACATCTTTACAATAAAAATATTATCAAAACAAGCATACTAAATTCAAGTGTTTTTTTTTTTTTTTTTTTGTTTTTTTTTTTTACGTTGGATGGATTAAATATTACCGTTTCTAAAGAAGATAAGAGTGACTTTCACTCTATATCAAGTAAAAATAATGTTTTTCTTTCTAGTCTAGGAAGTTGTTTCCATCCTGTATTAAGTGTTATAAATAATGGTTGTGTTTCTATGTGACAGTGCCTCCGCACCACCTGCTGATGTATGATAACTCTGGGAGAGAGATCGGTGAGGGAGTTGTGGGACCCCTCAAGGAGGGCGACGATCTTGTTCTCAAGTGTGAAGTCAGGGGAGGTCAGTTAACAAATGTAGCACGAGTAATTGTATTTATAAAATATTATGAAACCTATCGTAGTATCTAATTTTGCTTCATTACCAAGGCACAAGACGATAAAACTTTGATATAATAATATAAGCCTATACATATAATAAAGCCTATATAATAAAGCTATACACAATTGAATTATATATATTTTTTTTATTATCTAAAATTTTATATATTTTAATGATCACTACTGTTTTTGTATTTTTTTTACATTTTCACTCCCAAATGATCTAAGCCCATTCGCCAGTGCATTACAAAGTGATCTATGTGCAATTATTATGTCTTTGTAGTTTGCCCTGCGTCCTACAGAATGCGCAGGGTGTAAGTACAGGAGGCAGTGAAGTACAAAATGATCTAAGTGCCATCAGACGGTTTGGTCACACAATACAAGGTTGAAAAGCACGTGGTAATCTGGAATTAGATCATCTTGGGCTGATTATTATCTAGGAATTAGATCATTTTGCACAATTATATTCTAAATTTTGTTTTTGTAATTGTATTTTTTTATCTAATTTGTTTCAAACGTGAAAACTTATTGCAAAAAAATAAAAACTGTTTTTGACAGTTAGTTTTACTCTGTTTTTCCTTATATCCCAAAATAAATGTTTGTGGCACTTACATCATTTTGAAATGAATATCTTCAATAAATGTTATTAATTAATTGATTAAAGAATAAAATTGACTGGGTATATGTCCTGCTAATCGAAATGGTGACCTAATTCAAACGTGCCACATTGAAACACAAAAAGTAATATTGAAAAGGTATATTGATGTATGTTAGCTTTAACTTCTACTTAACATTTTATAACATCTAACTTGTAGCCCCGTTTTTATAGTTTGTTACAAAATGTTTGTTACAATCACATCAATTGTAGTGATGTTATTTTAATTTTAGACTGTATTACAAACTTTTACTGAAAATCAATAAATGATGTATAATCAGTATATGACATATGCAAAAATGAGGTTATACAGTACAACGAAATGTAATATTTTTTTATAGTCTTGTAGTTAATATTTCAAATGTATTCAGGTAACCCAGCTCCCACGGTGTCCTGGTTTATCAACGACAAGATAGTGACGGATGGCAAGGTGGAGAGAGTTGGAGAGAATGTTATAGTCAACAGGCTGGAGGTTGCCAAGCTGAGGAGAGATCAACTCAACACTACATTCAAGTGTCAGGCCAGCAACACCAAGCTTATGCAGCCTACAGAGAAGACGGTCCGTCTAGAGATGTTCTGTAAGTATACACGTTTAGACTGCTAATATTTCACTATATTTATACAATGCACATCTCTTAACACACACAAAATATCTTCGTAGTATAATTGTATGAGTATGTAGAGATAATGTTATAATGTAACTGAATACTACTGTGTGGGCCAAACGTAGTCACCGTTTATATTACACACAAGTAAACTAACCTTGTTCTAATATTAATGTGCATAACAATTTAAAAACTCTTTATTTGCCCCAACGTAAAAAAATAAGTAATACCGAATAATGAGATAATAAAGGTAGTTTAATTGTGTGAATATCATTTTCAACTCCTTACTTTTCGTGTTTTTGTTTCTTTACACAAAGGCAAGTACAATAAAACAAAAAGAATTTAAACATTTTCGTGCATGCAGAAAAATTAGTCCTCTTTGTAAAAAAGCTTTGCTTTCCACAAATAACTTCATGGAAAAATAATAAGCTTCTAAAGCTTTAATGGTTTTACTTTGTAAGGTAAATATTTTCGTTTGCTCTGTTACAAGTTAAAACAAACAACAATATAACAGTAAACTGTTGCCACTGCTACACATCCAATCCCCTGGAGCTGTTTGCCTCAACATTAGAATAATATACCTTTTCTACCAACTTCAATTAGGTTTAGAACGGTAAATTGTACATTCGTGCTGTTGGCCAACTAAGCAATTTTTTATGAAACCACTATACATTATGTATTCAAATGTTCAAATTACATCTAATGTACTCTAAATGTCCTCCTGACGTATTATACTTCCATATAGTTTATGAAGAGGATACAATGAAAGGAAAATAAAGTTGAAGAAATGAAACTTTTGTATATAAATATAAGTTTAATTCGACTGGTATTATTACATTTCTTAACAATGTAAGGTACTTTCTCAACTTTTACCTTATCCCTGCATTCTGACTTTTTGAGGGATTATCAAGACTTTTGTTTTGAATTGACTGAACACTCGCAGTGTTTCAATATATTAAACTTTATTTCATCTCAAGACTATTTAAAAATATTTTTACAGAAATATATAAAATCGTATTTTGGCTCAACTATCACAGAGACCAGGGCGGTCTGTTGACATATGAGTCGATCGGCTTTAGACCCCTCTGTCCTGTCTTGTCGTCCTGGGTCCTCGTTGTCTTGCTAACTTTGTCCTCTCGACTTGGCTCCTTTAGCACCGGGCTTAACACGCCTCTTGTGCAGGAGTGCCGGGCCTCAACACACCTACCCCATCAGTCCCAACTACCCAACTGCCGAAGTCCCACAAGGAACCTCCTTATATACGGTCTTTAAGTTCTTTGAGAGTGGGGGAATGTACCCAATACAGGTCCCCAGCGATTGTCCTGCGCACTTTTCCTTCAGTAATTTTTCTGAGTACTTCCCTGGGGGAATTCACTGGGCATCTTTTCTGGTGCTTTGAGTAAATTTCGTGCCCAAACATTTGCCTTCGGAAACACTTGATCACAACAATGAAGTACTAAAATGAAGCTTGGGAGAAGATATCTTTTTTAAACCACCTCTTATTTATGTAAATTATAAAAACATCTTTTCGTGGCTTTGTAAAATAAAAGACGTACGAAATTCGAAATTATAAGTACGGTAAATATTTCTAAGGCTTCAATTGTCTCGTCCATTTGTGATCAGTTTTTTGTGTAGGGTTTTAGTTGGTTTATCTAAAAAAAAACCTATAAGGTCTATTTTAAAAATTCCCATCTAATGGACATTCGAATTTGGGAATCTTAGCCTATTCCAAAACTTATGCTATCGAGGTTCATGTAAATGCAGTTATGGTAGCGGAAGGCGAATCTTAAAAGCATTTTAAAGAAGGAATATTAGTTACATTATAAGGATTAATGAAGGAAGTGTGTTATCTTAAAAGGTAACTTAAAGTTTCCTATCAGCACACAATGTCAATGTAAAACTAATGTATTATGAAAGCTAAGGAGTAATGAAAAAGGTATCCTAAAAATCTGCGTCACTCCAGAAATAATAAAAAAAATCATCTTGTTACGTTTGAAATTTTTTTTAAATATATTTCGATAACACGGCCGAAAAAAGAAGATTTAACATGGTAAGAATCAAATTTGCATTGTAGATAATCGACAAAAAGGATCTGAAGACTAATATTTGAAAACTTTTCAGTGAAGCCTGTGTCTGCATCCATCATCACCAAGCCCGTGGAGTTGGTAGCCTACGAAACATACAACTTGACATGCGAGGTGTCGGGTTCTAGACCTACCGCTGACGTCACTTGGTATAGAGAGGGCCGCAAGTTCAAAAGGGGCAAGGTAAGTTGAACAGTTGGTTTTATTAAGATAACAAAAAGGTTTACAATGAAATTAAACCCCTTCCAATAGTTTTTTTAATGTGTCGTTTGCTTTTGTAACCTGCATTAAAAGCCTCGAGAGCCCTCGCCCTTTGTCACTGTTTGGCAATTTTTTATTGACACGCAATACATCTATAAAATATGACGAAACAAAACTGTAAAAAAGCCACTGTAATGTGTAAATATTGCATCTAGTTATAGTAAGATAATGGATACAACGTATATAAGAGTGGTAGTGTAAAAGTATTTTTTGAATTTTGGCGAAAGAAACATGTAACTACGGTTAATTTGCATGTATTGGTCTTCTACAATCTTGCTGTGGTATTCATATAGGACCTAAATTCAGGTCATATTCAGATGTAAATGTCTGAGAAGGGACTTAGATGTAGGTCAGGGCTGTTAAGCTACAGTTATACTGGAGCAATATTTATATTTCGTCTTACATCAAAGTGTTAAATCGTTACATTACGTGACATTTACCCGTATTCATGATAGTTGTTATAAAAATTACTAAGAAAATTTATCCTGTTCACCAATAATATGTAAGGACAAGGTTTTATTTGTATTTTTGTATTTTATCTGTATTTAACTGTAGATGTATTAAGACAAAAACACAATTATTTAATTTCCGTTTTAACATTTTAAATTAAAAATTAGTAAGTGTTACTTAACCTTTTAAAGCAAATTTAAATTGTATTTACTAGGTCTGTATAGAAGATTTATGTTAAACATTAAAATAAAACTAATCTAATTTTGTATTCAGAAATTCAGTTTCCGAACAGCAACGGTTTGCTTCTTGACTGCTAAAACATTCATTGTATGTAAAATGGGAGTTTAATATTCTTAATAAAATTAACTTGTATACATTATAATTCAAACCGATCGTAATGGTAAACATAGCAATGCATGGCTTGCTACTATAAAAGTCTTCGATATAATTTTTTTTTATATCGATTTAATATAGCACTAATACTTAACAAGAAAAAGTGCTATACAAAACCAACAAATAAACTTAGTAAACTATTTATTGCTAGAAATTAACGCATTCTTCCTTCGCAAAACTAACTATTACTTAAGCACAACTGGTTAAAACGCTTTTTATGGTTTGTACCTGGGAACAGATTCCCTGAGTTATAGGATTTTGGAGAAATGGTCCTGAATAAAGAGACAGTTGGCATTAGCCAGGACGAAAAATGCTCAGATAAATCCACTCCTATTTACACTACCTGCCTTACATGCGTATTTACCTTAACCTGACACATAGAAGGCATTGCTGTCTCATAAGTATTGCTGAATAATGGTGTATATTTAAGGTCGACCAGGATGCCAATGAGACGGTGGTACAGAGCACAGTGCTGTTCACCACAGCCCCTGAGGACGACGGCCATATACTCAAGTGTCAGGCCAACAACCCCAAAATGGAGGGTTCGGGAGTCGAGGATGCCATCACGCTCAACATAGTCTGTAAGTCAATTGCCATCCTTTGTACATTTCTAAAATACAAGTCTAAATGATGTCGGATTACAAAAAATGTGTAGTTCACAAGATTTAATAAATCAAGATAAAATATAACATTTTTTTTCGAATGCATCATTATTCAATATGAAGCATATGTTACAGTTTTTAACTCAACTAAGTGAACAAATGTACTAAAACTAGGCAATACAATGGCAATAAGTATATAGCGGGGGGCTGGTTTTCACATGGATAAATTGCCGGGGGTGTCAAACTACAGAGTGTTGGCTTATTTACGGCAACTGTCTTTCGTGTAGATTATCACACTCTTAAAGTTGTCGAATCACATTATTTGGTTTCAGTAAATTAATTATAAACTACGAACAAAATATGCTGCAAGAATATAGTTTAAATGAATATATTTCAACAATGCAAAATTGTAATATTAGCAATGCCTCTAATTATGTAGGTGAAGATGTTTGCACTGTAGTGTATGTAGGGCATATTACACTAGGAGGACCTAGTGCTAAACAAACCTTATACGAGAGAATAGAGTATTTTATGTGGTAGGGAGTGAATAGTTAAAAAAAACCGTAATAAGTACCTTCAGTGCTAGCAACGTATAAGCTCAGAAAATAACAATATTTCATCTAACTAAAATGCACTGCAATAAATACATTAATTTAAAATAACAAAAGTAATATCAGCTGCTTAACGTTAGCTGGTTTGACGACATGTAAGTGGTAGAGATATTCCGTAGCTAGGTCCATTACCAGGTGTGCGGCGAGGAGTTGCCAGCCAAGCCTCTCATTGACGACATGTAAGTGGTAGAGATATTCCGTAGCTAGGTCCATTACCAGGTGTGTGGCGAGGGTGTTGCCAGCCAAGCCTCTCATTGACGACATGTAAGTGGTAGAGATATTCCGTATGGCATTCCGTACAATGCCACCTGGGTCCATTACCAGGTGTGTGGCGAGGGGTTGCCAACCAAGCCTCTCATTGACGACATGTAAGTGGTAGAAATATTCCGTAGCTAGGTCCATTACCAGGTGTGTGGCGAGGGGTTGCAAGCCAAGCCTCTCATTGACGACATGTAAGTGGTAGAGATATTCCAGAGCTAGGCCCATTACCAGGTGTGTGGTGAGGGGTTGCCAGCCAAGCCTCTCATTGACGACATGTAAGTGGTAGAGATATATTCCGTAGCTAGGTCCATTACCAGGTGTGTGGCGAGGGGTTGCCAGCCAAGCCTCTCATTGACGACATGTAAGTGGTAGAGATATTCCGTAGCTAGGTCCATTACCAGGTGTGTGGTGAGGGGTTGCCAGCCAAGCCTCTCATTGACGACATGTAAGTGGTAGAGATATTCCGTAGCTATTACCAGGTGTGCGGCGAGGGGTTGCCAGCCAAGCCTCTCATTGACGACATGTAAGTGGTAGAGATATTCCGTAGCTAGGTCCATTACCAGGTGTGCGGCGAGGGGTTGCCAGCCAAGCCTCTCATTGACGACATGTAAGTGGTAGAGATATTCCGTAGCTAGGTCCATTACCAGGTGTGTGGTGAGGGGTTGCCAGCCAAGCCTCTCATTGACGACATGTAAGTGGTAGAGATATTCCGTAGCTAGGTCCATTACCAGGTGTGCGGCGAGGGGTTGCCAGCCAAGCCTCTCATTGACGACATGTAAGTGGTACAGATATTCCGTAGCTAGGTCCATTACCAGGTGTGCGGCGAGGGGTTGCCAGCCAAGCCTCTCATTGACGACATGTAAGTGGTAGAGATATTCCGTAGCTAGGTCCATTACCAGGTGTGCGGCGAGGGGTTGCCAGCCAAGCCTCTCATTGACGACATGTAAGTGGTACAGATATTCCGTAGCTAGGTCCATTACCAGGTGTGTGGCGAGGGGTTGCCAGCCAAGCCTCTCATTGACGACATGTAAGTGGTAGAGATATTCCGTAGCTAGGTCCATTACCAGGTGTGCGGCGAGGGGTTGCCAGCCAAGCCTCCCAGAGTCACTAGATAATGTCTCCCACCGGGGCCATTACTTTTACATGTGATCAGTCGATGGGGTAAAAACGTTCCTGCAGCCACATAGATGGCCTCCACTTTTTATATTGAACCAGGTTTAAGGCTTAGTACTATTGGAGGAATGATTAAATTTTTTATAGCTTAGGGGTGACAAAAATTGATAAAAGTCCGACGTAAATTGTTGCCAAAGAATTATAGTTGTATAGATAATTATTTTTCTTAAATATAGTTTAGATTATTTGTAAATGAAAAATACTAAGTAGTCTCAAACAATTATCTTACATAGAAAAATCGTTTCAATGACTCCACGAAAATACCTCCAACACTATCGTTTTCATATTATATAGCAGGAATAATTGTTTTTATCGGGGTCGATGTGTTCAGTCTTAAGGCGTTTTGTATGAACTCTTTTGCATTTATAACGATATAAATTACTCATTACTTCTTGGTTTAAAGCTCAAATGGTAGTAATAACAATGTAATAAAAAATGTAATACAAAAAAGTTATATGTAGTTTATTTTATTTTTATAAATAGGTTCATGCACAATGTTTATTTCTATTAAGTATGACTTTCTCTCAAATTCAATACTCTAATAGATTTTAAAACAGTAGGCTCTGTGCATAGTTAATTCAGAGTTACATAACATTTTACCTTTTTGTATTATCATAAAAATCTGAACTGAATGAGCTTAATATTGAAAAATTTAAACGTTATGATACTACAGTAATTAAACTAGTAATACAACCAAGTGTCATTCAAGATTTTCATCGTCATTTGGAGTTAATTGTCAGAACAAGCGAAATGGTTATAATCATGACGGGTGCCATTTCCTTTCTGGGTCAATGGAACTGTCGTAGCATAACGTGTTTATTAACCCTGCGTTTCATCTGAAACTGCTAATTGGTTTTCTATGAAATTATATAACTGATTGACTATTTAATGTAGCATTATTACAAGGATTTCACGTAGGACGATGTTTGCAGATCCTCCTATAGTCACGCTGCAGCTAGGCACGTCACTGAAGCCTCATCAGATCAAGGAGGGAGATGACGTCTACTTCGAGTGCAACATCAAGTCCAACCCCAGAGAACACAAGATATCGTGGCATCATAACGTATGTGCACTTTATATCTGACCTAATTATAGTGTCATAAAATTTGTTGATGTAGTAAATGACCTAAATATTTGTATTCACAATACAATACATTGTACTATAGTAAATTATTACAACAGAAAATTGCAATAGTAAATTCTACTACAAACATGCAGTAGAGCTTTAATAACTGAAAATTGTTATTACTCCACATAACTGAAGTCTCAAATTTTAAAAGCTACTTTAAATTTAAATGCTTAGTTTATCTCAATAATTTTGAAATGTAATGAACTTAGAATTATTACTTGTAATTTGATGCATTTACAGTTCACTAGTTCCTGCTTTTATTAATCTGCACTGGTAATATTTCACCATCGCAGTTCCGTTTCCCCCCCAAATATACTTTCCTTTCCTAATTTGGCCAGTATTGTGTGATGGGGGCCTCATTAACAGAGCAATAGTAGTAAAGATTAAACAACTTTGACATAATGAGATGAGATCAGACTTTTAGAGGCTGGCTACGAGATATATGAAGAGTTAACTTTGGCGTTTTTGACTCTAGGTTATGACGTAGTAATGTTACAATATAAATAAAATACTTCCAAATATCTCACAGTTTATTTATTTGCAGTTTCAACAATCGATTTACTAATTTAATTTTTCCTTTGTACTAGTTTCATAAAGCCAAGTGTGAAACTATCCAGTACAACTACTAGGAGAATCGCAGCGGACGCAGCGCACCACCTGCAGTTCATGTGTCTGTATCGGTGCAGGTGTTGTTGAAAGTGTGAAACGTTATCTCAAAAGTGTGACAAATTTAGCAGGAATGTGACTGCGAGAGAGTTTAGTATTCCCAGTTCAATATGGCGACTGCTGCTATCGGCTGGATCCAATTTCGTTATGATATTGCGCCGCGCCGCACCGCTAGCTATCACGTTATATGTAGATTACGCGCTCTTGTTGTCTCCATACAATTCCGTACGTGCCCGATATTCCTTTGATTGTCTACATCTCTTTTAGCTGGCCTTCTAAACATTCTAGTTCTCCGTTTGTTCATTTAGTTATATTTATAACTAGACTAATTTAAAAGCAAATGCTGTCTTTTAATTCAATAGACATATACTTTAATTGACTTTGTTTGTCCACCTACAAACTTGGCAGTGGCTATTTATCGATGCATGTCTACCGAAAGATAATAGTATTTTGAGATAATTACACTCACATCTTTATTTTTTTACATGAATATATATATTGCTTAGAACACACTAACACATTATTGAGTCTGTTTAATATAAATGTTCCATAGAATGTAATAGAGAATACAACACTTCGAATTATAATTTTTTTCTGAGGCAGATTGATGGATACAATGATTGTTCCTGAATATGTTTAAGGGTTACAAAAATATGTCTTGGCTATTAGTCGATAAATCTGGCATTTTCGAAGATCCTAGAGTGGCTTCTGATATTTTTCCGTGAGGTTTAAGTATGATTGCAAGGTGATAGGTTATGTGCAAATACAAGTTGCATCCTTCATAAAAAAGCTATAAGTCTGCAAGGACCGAAGGCTATCTCTCCTCGACAATCACCTCCTCAACAAGACGATGTCCTCTAAAACTGCGATAAAACCTCATTTCATACAACACAACCTCCTGTATCTTGCTAAGCTATATTATTATAATCTGCTAATCTCCAATGCTATACCATAACCTCAAGTTATCTCCTAAACTATTCCATAACCTTCCAAACCATACTTTGAACTCATATAACCACCTTAATACAGCATAACTAAGTATACAATTAATTCCTTCTGACACATATTACAGGGCCAGGTGCTGACGCAGAACATGTCTAGTGGTGTCATCTTCAGCACACACAGTCTAGTGCTGCAGGGGGTGACTCGTCATCACGCCGGCAGCTACACGTGTGCCGCTGTCAACGCTAAGGGCGAGACTACTAGCGAGCCCGTCTGGCTCAGAGTGCAATGTGAGTTAGTTACATATGTGAATGTCGCATCACTAATAGTACAATATTGTTTGTATAACGTTTTGCAATCTGGTTGTGTAATGTTTAAATATTATGCAGACCTTAATCAGTGTGTTAGAAAATGCTTTACCAAAACAAAGTACTAACAATAACCAGTTATGAGTAGGTAAGAAGGGAGTTTAAGTTTTAGTATAGTTTGCACTTCATTTAGAATGGGATTATTACATGGCTTCATACATAATAGAATATTTTTAATGTTTTGAGTATTTGTTTTTGTATATTTGACTCATTTATGAACTCCAATAGGCGTTATATAGTTCTTTAAGACCTGTTCTCTGAAATTTCTAGGTTAAATAAAAGTTTGGGTTTTTTTCATTTCTTTACTTGATGTATAAAGTAGGCCTAACTTAAGGTTGTCTTAGGTTATTGAATTTTTTTCTGTACTGATACCATCAGAACTTCTTTGTTTTTTTTCTCCTTACAGTACTAAATAGTTTTCATATTTCGTTAACTTATTTTGTACCTACTGAGATTATAATCCAGCCGTCCATAGAAATAATTCGGTTGAAAAAATTATCATATAATTACGTTAGCGAAATAACACAAAAATAGATTAAAGGCTTTATCTTTTTTTATATTAAAAAATAAATAAAAATAAAATAAAAAGAATATATACTACTTATATACTGTGAAGGGATCTCTATTTGTAACTCATTAAACATGGATAGTGACCTACAAACTGCAATTAATCGTGTGCTATATTAATGCATCGGGTGTTAGAAACTGAGGGATGAGAAGCAAGTAATTCTCTGTAATGGAAAACGCCGGGTTTAGTAGGTTGCGTGGTTGTCAAAGACTGAAAAGCTCATCTTGTCGTTATAGCAAGTAATAGCTCTGCGTCGGAACAGGAGCTGCACTCGCAGACGCCGCTTGATGGCTTTGTTATATAATAACTGATATAAGCAGCTGCGCTTCTATCACTTATAAGTTACACTTCGCTTAGTCTTCAACTTGTAGTTACCCTATCGACGCGTAGCTTTAATTTTGAAGTTGATTTTTATTAGAGAACACGTTTTCAGGGGAAGCAATCTTTCCGGACAATTTCTATTACCCATTTGGACAAAATCGTTAAACTACATAATGGATCGTTCGTTATTGTAACCTAAAGCTGTGATTTAATGTCAAAACAAGCATCCATAAGCTGGTTTATAATCCTTAGAAATTTTGCTTATATCTTGTCAGTTCTAAGCTTAAACTAATTGTAAAAAATACGACACATTAAAACAAATTCAATTAAAGGTCATGTTGCATGTTATTGTTTATTGGAAATTCAAAATCTTTCGTTCCATATCAACACCGGGCCACACCACATAACATTGCTGCATTAAGCCAAGTAGTAAGCGGCATTGGCATGGTAGGAGAATATAATCTAGTTAGATTGGTAGGTGAATATAAACTATATCAGCTGTGTGGTCAGATGAAATTAGTTTTACAAGAATGTTATTATTACAGTCGCACCAGTGTGTCGACTAGACGAGCCTACCATTGTCGGGGCCTCTATAGACGAGGTGCTGCGGGTGCGGTGTGAGGTACAGGCCGACCCCAGTGACGTCAGCTTCGTATGGCAGTTCAACAACAGCGGGGAGAGTTTTGAGGTTCCTCCAGAGAAGTACGCCACAAGTAACGGCAGCACCAGTGAGTTCCGCTACACGCCTACCTCCGAGCGGGACTATGGCACCCTCACGTGTTGGGGGAAGAACAACATCGGTCGTCAGGTGGAGCCCTGCGTGTATCAGCTCGTCCCAGCCTGTGAGTTAATCATCAGAAAACATACAGCGTTGGCAAACAAATAATTGTATTCTTGTTTGTTCCTCAATCAAAATTGAAACTAAGGCAAAGTTAGATTTGGGCAAATATTTAAAATCTTTACCTTTTTACAGATTTTACTTGTCTTTACTGATTTTACGAGATGCATGTATATGTTTTGGAACAGTAGCAATCCTCAGGTTTGTTAAATTTTAACTTTTAACAATACTGATCTCGTATTTGTCTTGGATTTTTAAACATGCAATATGAATGATCCCCTTTTATTGTAAACATTTATAATTTAAAGATGAAGTTTTCAAACCCACAACAAGAATACGAAATAATAATAATTTAACGTTTCCAGAAAAGTTCATATTTACACTACGTAAAAATGAAGCAGTAAACTAAAGCCAATAATTAGCTTATAGGTACATAATCTAATATTGTGTAATATTTGACAGCCAAGCCGAGCTCTCTACGCAACTGCACTCTCCGCTCCACTGTCAACACTACAGGTGACTGGCTGGAGGTGGAGTGTGTGTCTGGGTTTGACGGTGGAATGCCACAATCCTTTCATCTTGTGGCTATTGATCCTTCCTCCAACCAGGTACACAACGTGCAATCGTATGGGTAAAATTGTTTCACTAAAATTGTTTATTGTTTCACAACACCCATTTTGACAATCGACTTAAAAGACATTCACATATTTTAAATGCAATGGAACTTATACAACTGAGGATTAAAATCTTTACTTTAATTTGTGTCCAAACCAGCAAAGATATGAGGAATAATTTGATGGATTATCCAGAGCGCTTTATTCTTTTACCCAACCCGCGATGTTAAACTTCTGTATCCTAAGGGTGATGTCTTCTTTACTTCACTCGGTGAATTAAAGTTTCAAAAACTCACTCGGTGAAGTAATGAACCCCATTCATATAACATTGAGTCCTCAACTTAATAAAATATACCTCTATGGAGCCAACGACGTTCAACGCTAGAAATCAGCTGTGCGCTTCATTGTTATTGTTACGCTCTAAAGTATTTTCCTAACCTAGCTTTAGTTTGTAAAAGAACCATACTGTTAGAAGATGAATGAAATGGGTAATGAAAAAATTGTACGTAACCCCCTGTATATTGTCGGGTCACGTAAAATCTTGTACGTTACACGTTAAGCAAGAGCTTTTTTACATCACTTAGGTAAATTATGCAACTCGCATCCGCTCGATGCACAACATTCACCTGCTTGATGTAATAACGCTCTTACTACACTTGTCACGTAAATAGCTATTACACTTCGTTGTGATAAAGTTCATTGTTCTATTCTTTTCGTTCCTCGATATTCTTTAAGGCTTATACTTGCAGGGTATGTGTACATTGATGTGTGTTTGTGACGTAGGTGAGACTGAACCTCACAACGTCCGTGGTGCCGATGTTCCGGGTAGATCTCGCCGCTCTACAGGCCACCACACTGCAGCTGGTCATGTATGCGGCCAACCAGAAGGGCCAAAGTGAACCTGTTGTTTTGGAGGACATCGCAGTACGTGACGCAGAGAAACGTACGGGTGGGTTGAAATGGGTTGAAATTGGGTCTGGTTTGTGAGAAGGAATGATAAAGTATAGAATTTTTAGTCCTGCACTACTCATATGTTATTAAATTAGCTGATATTAGTCAGCAACAAAGTATTGATCATCTCACACCTTTCTACACTCATCCTTTAACACATGTTTAGGTTAAAATACGCATCAAGGTGGCGTCCCCACTTCAATTGAAAATGATAATTAGAATGATATCATCAAAATAATAAGTAAACATATGAATAAATCTTGTGAAGCATCCAATCTTATGTTTGTATTGAGAGGTTCCCCGAGTTGCAGTATTTGTGTTACATTTAACCTTGTGTTAATTTAATGTACTAATGAGTTCATTCAGATTAACTCTCTAAGCTAAATTATGTTGTTTTCTTCCTCATATATTCATCGTGATTTATTTCTTTAAAAAAATTGTTTTATATTGGCTTATAAAATGGACATTTACTACACAAACATTTAGTCTATCGTTTTTACTAGAACATGTTTTTTTTATACATTTTTTTAAAAGTTGCCATTTTAATAAAAAATGGAGAATTAAAAAATCATAATAAAAACACATAATAATGAATCCTTGTCGTTATTAAACACATTTTATTGACTGTGAGAAAGAGTGGGACATTCGACGCCGTTTGAAAGAAGCCTCGATAGTTCATTGTTGGACATTTTAATTAAAAAACATTCTTTTAAAGGTTCCTGAAATCGGAATTGTTTTAATAGTATCTCAATCGGGGGCCATGATTACTGCGAAGAGGGAGTAATTAGAAAAGTTGGACTGAAAACCGTAAAAAGAACTCATTAAGCACTGTTCAACCGAGCTGCATAAAGAGCTCTTGGAATTGCTAGGGTTAGTCTTGACGGACTTCATTAGTTATGTGGACCATATTATCACTGTTTCTTTTTGCAAGTACACGATGCACTATAGAAAACCCACTAGTAAATAGAAACTGAATAATTTATATAAACTATTTGTAAAATGTGTGTTTTATAGTTTGTCTTTTTTAATTTGATTATCCTATTTATTAATAGGCATGCATGTTTCTTGAAAACATTTTTTCTTAGCTTGCGTACAACGCAGGGAAAATCTACACATGCCGTTAGATAGGTATGCCTAAAGATGTACAGAATCCCTTTATAAACTGAACTAGGCTCAAAAATACAGAACTAAAACACATAAATGAATATGAAATTAAAGGACCTTATGGGTTGCCATACTGGTAATGAAATAACAACGAAATACATAAACAGAAGAATAGAAAATCAAAACAAATGGAAGAAATTCCAATCACATATTTTATTTACAGCGTGGGATGAAAATAGAGAAATATTTTTGGTGGAGTTTCCGACCACGAGGATTAGTTATAAATACGCAATAGAATGCAATAAATTTCGTCTGATAATTTTAAACTAATAAACCTCGAGTATAAACATATAACCTGTTGGTGTTGCAGAATGGGTCAGTAGTGGAGTACACAGCATCAGCCTGAGCAGCTTGACCGTGCTGCTCGGGGGAGTGTTGTGTGGGGTGGCGACTGCTGTGCTGATAGTGATAGTGCTGGTGATGTCACGGCGACGTCAGCAGCCACAACACCTACACGAGATGAGTGTCAAACAGCTGGAGCTGAGCCACCCTCACAGTGACCAGCAGCGATATGTCGTCTCATACCAGCTCAAGCCAGAGACCAAACAGCCCGATATTCTATCGAGATGTAAGTTACGCGCATAACTTGCTATTTAAATCCATCACTCTAAATAAATGAAATCAAACTGTACCTTTTGAAATATTGAAATAGCTCCAGGAGGCATTTTAGCATACTAATGAATAGTACCACTGCCAAAACGAGGGCGACACAGCACATATTGCTATAAGTCATACAATTTCACAAGAAGGGGATTTGTTTCTACCTTCACAACTTCTTCCTATCTTGCATTTAGCAAGAAAGAAACAGTCCTACACAGTTCATCAGATAGAGTCTAAAAGCTTTTTTGGATTTAAAGCAGCTGGAAAAAGAACTCAGGATTCTGACAGTAAACAAAAAAATATGAACCAAACATCCCAGTTCATTGGCCTAGCATGGTTGATTGGTAATAATTCAGAAAAGGAAATCCAAGGCAGATAATGTTCAAGACCAGCCATCTAGAGGAAAACAACAGGAGACTTATTCTCAAGAGAGTGGTTGAACCAGCCCCTCTTAAAGTGCTCTATAATCAACCCTGCAATATCTCCGCAGAAAAATACAAAGATCTGTTTTTTTCTTTTTTTTTTCTTGCACGAAGCCTAAATCCCATTGTAAGAAGTGCAGAACACGTGAATAATTTTTAATCCCTTCCGCATAAACGAGAACCTTATAAGACTTTACTTTTTGCTACGAGCAAAAACAATTCAATTTAGTTTTATAAGCATGACAAGTTTTTTTTTTATAAAGTAGGTCAACTATTTATTTTGTTATGTTTGCAATTAAAAGGAAATTATGTTTGTTTTGTATGATGGATTTTTTCGGCTCGAAATACAGTGGCCTAAAATTTGTAATTTTTTACCAAATTATATTAGCTTATTTATTTACTTTTAGAAGGTTGTTGTCTTCTTTTATTCAGTATTTTAATTTCAAGTTCTAAAACTGTTTTTTGCTTTTTTAAATTGGATTATTCTTCATTATTATTTGTCATTGTAATATTATTGTATCTATTCTCAGTTATATTCATATTCCCCTTAATATCTCGGATAAAAATACATTTATTTAATGTAACAATAGTGCCAATTTCTCTGGCGTAAGTGTTTTGAAATGTTACATTCCCAATCACAAAGTGACGTAACTGCAGTGTTATATATAAAAAAATTCCCCATAAATAGTATACATTTTTGTCATAAATTGACAGCAAAGTGTTACTAGACATCTTTAACTATATATAAAAAATAAATGTAGAAATTAGCTTTAAAAAAATCAAGGTATACAGAGTTTATAAAAACGCTTATTTTTGTTTTAGCCACCCTGTAAAGTAAGGGTTTTACAAGTACACCACTTCGTGTTTGGGCCGACGAAATGAGCCAATCCAGCTAGGAAAAATATTCTTGTCCACCATACTAAAAATGAAAAAATATGACAAATGTGATTTTTATTGGAGCTTAATTGTAATGTTCTGTTATTAAAAGATGTGTTTTGTTACAGTATCGGACGAGCCTCAAGAGAGAGATGCTCCTTCGATACCTTACAACAACGGACCAAGTGTGATGGCTACTTTTGTGAGTTTCATACTTTCTTGTGTTTAAAAAATACTTATCTTGTAGTTATTTACTAAACGTATATATTGTGAAATGAAGCCTAAATGATATTGCTACAATGTCGACTACATGTCATATTAGGTGATTCAGATATCTTATTTTACCTTTTTCAAAAATTGCCTTCTGCACTAACTGATCATTCACGATTCAGAGCTATACGGATTAAAGAAACAGTATTGTGAATGTTGACATAAGCTATGTCCCGAATGTTTACTTGGTGGACATAGTGTTACATGAACTGTATGTTTCAGATGTCGCCATGTACCAGTCCCACATGTTCGCTACGGTCGGCGGGGTCCGGGACTCTGCCCCTGCGGCCCACGACGATAGGCTTCCCTCACAGCTCTTCGCCCCCGTTGCCGCCTGCCCCGCCCCACGTCCTCGGTATGAACGGCACCCTCCGTGCCAAGGAACACCATGTCCTATCAAACTCCATCCCCGGACCAGAGAGCTGCGTATGAACCGCAGCGCTCCGTTAGACACACCAACAATCAAATAATTTAGCTACATTAAGTTCCATCTAAAATTACATGTCATAAAATTTCTTATTTCTATCTTTAGATTTCAATAATAAATTAAAACTTTTTACAACATATAATTTATTCATCTTATCTAATAAGGACGCTGGTCAATAGTAAATGATTCTTGGTTTATTCATAAAAAAATTGTAAACCTAACAACAATGTATCAATAAAATAAATAAACATAAGCAACAAAATGGTATTACATGTCTGTTCTAACAATTAATTGTGTTTCCAATCAATATTGTGATAATAGGCTAAAAGGTTTAATCCCCGTTAACTAGATTTCTAATGCAAATACAATATTTCAATTAGTTGACAAATGTTCATCGCTTGTGCCGAAAACAATTATTGTATCAGGATATGAAAAAGTGTATTATAGCTAATAAAGGCCAAGTACTGTTTAAAAGTATGTAATATAATAAAGTTGTTTTAAAAATGTACTACCATTGAAAGCAAATGCATCTTAATCATAAATTTCGATGTTTATAAAACATTATCAGTAAAATGAATTTATCAAACAAAATATTATTTGAAAACCATAATATAAAACGCATTACAATTTGAACTCCTGCATTTACAGGACTAAAAGTAGTCAGACTGATTTTGTAATGGTGATTAAAACCGTTAGTTTGGACCAAATATTTCCAATAATGACATTGAAAAGCCATTCTTGGTCATTCATGTTATATAGTTTTAGTTTACAAATTTATTACTTCTTGAACATATTCTTTGTGAATAATACATTTCTGCTCCACTGACTGTTGACTATTTTCACATATCCATATCAATAAACCACATTTTCCTTTGCAATACATGTGTGTATATAGATAATGAATGGAACTTAAGCTACAAGGTTTTTGTAAAACTAGTCAATGTGTTCATTTGTTTATACATTTCCTTCATGTTACACAACGACAATATTAATGAATAAATGTTTTGCCTCATTAGAATCTTTTTTAAAGAAAGTTTTTAATAATTGTAGATGTGCCTTTAGTGGGTTCCATTGTACTTTATCTGCTATGAAAACTTTTCAACATCGTTTATAGTTTTAATGAAAGGGTGTATTTTTTTAAACTTCGTTTTACCTGTTGGTTTATTAAAACAGTTAGTTTATTTATTGTTTTCTCAATTTGAGAGGATAACTGAATGTGGAATATACCTTAATGGGATATACCATAAGTATAAGTGTCCTTTTAAACACGAATACGTGCAAATTAAGTCAACTGTAGCCTATATTCTTATGTTAACGACTGTATTTAGAAAAATTTTATTCCGTTTACAGATGTAAAACACATAGTATAATTTACAAGAATTACTGATTATTAATGATTACCTAATTCGAGAATGGGTGATTAGTTTGTTAATGAATTCTTCCATTAACATGTACATTTTGTAAAAAAGATATTTTTAATTTGCATAGTAATAATTTTTATTACGGTTGTACATATTAATGTTATGCTTGTCGATGAAAATAAAGTAAATGTTTTATAATACTTTAGTATTGTTATTATTTATGTCCTAAAATTTTGAAATAAATAAATAGCTTGAAACCGGCTTTAAACATCACAATTAGCAGTAAAATATAGTATATTACTTGTTTGGTCTTTTTTCCCACACTGGACTTCCACGAAATTGGTAAAATAATTAAAATGCCAAATTTATAAACTTCAAACACATATTAAAAAGTCTGACTAATACATATTTTTTAACTTTTCAAATATTAAAAAGCACTTTTATTACTGGAACATTTATTTGTACGACTTTTTGTTGAAGTAAGTGTCTATAATAGTATGAGATTATAACACTTTTAGCGCCAAGTATTTTATTCAAATATTAATTAAATATTTTCTGAAAATAATTAAATTTGGCGGAGGTAATTGTATAAAACAACGTGCTGTGCAGCATTTCGACGGTCATATTATATACCATTAAATAAATATAAATATAATGGACTATTGTTAATGTAAAGAAGACATTTTCAATACACAATGCACACACTACGATAAAGAACATTTCACGAAATATTGAATTGTGTTACCAGTTGCAACGAACGGGTCGTGTTCTGACAAACTTTTATAGTTATGTCTGTAAGTTTCTCACACAACTTTCTACTAAATACAATCATATGCGAAGTCATATCTCTAGTAGTAAAATGTGGACCTGTCAAATGATAAACAAATAGACATTATAAAAACTGTTCTACTTTCGTCGAGGAATATACCATTTATATACATTGTAAGAAAGGGGATTAACCCCGTACCCACGGTGCTCATCTATGCAGACACTCTGTTCACATTACACTTAGTCGACCAGTTGGTGTGAACAGAGTTGAACAGTAGCATGAGCATCGATTTACAAATTCCTTTCCCAGCTGATGTGAGCTAGGCGATGACCGGTAGGGCTGACTTCCAAGAAACACCGTTAACCTATTTATAAGCCACACACCCTATCGGTAATCAGCCAATGAGAAGGGCTAATGAAGAAGATGGAGGGGTCAAGACTCTTGGAGCTGGAGGATCTGAAGGAAAACATCGAAGAGATCACCACGGGCCACCGGAGGAAGAAGATCGGGAGTTTGGGAGTGCGTGTATCGGTGCGTGTACTTCTGGGACAATTAACAGTATGTAAAAAGAATAAAATATATAACTAAAGTTTTGTCAAACATACAAGTCATGTAATTTGTCAGTAACTAATTCTTTTACATTTTCAATTGATTTTCTCTTCTTGTAAATTTAACGTTGTAAATTAATTTATCTTATTATTGTTGATTTTTGCCTTTTCTAAGTTTTCTTTTGCTGTTGTAACTCTTGTTACTTTTGTTGTTTTTCTAAATTTAAATTTTTGTTCATTACACGTTGAGTAACACCCTTAAGCAGTCTTATGTCTCATTAACCTAACACCTCTTGACTAAGCTAAGCGAGTGAATCATTTTAGGAAACTTAAACTTAAAGTGAGGCATGGGACTCGCATGGTGGAGGCAGCCGCACGGCGAAGGCTGTCTTTTCATTTTAACTAAACAGTAACGATCCTACATTTATTTTAATAAATTATCTTGAAACAAATTATATGACTTGTGAATTATTTTAGTTTATTCATAGTCAATTATAGACACTTAAGTTAGTATCAGACTCACGAATCGTAAAATGTATAGGGTGTTAGTTTAAGATAAAACTTAAAGATTATGAACAAAACAATATAGGCCACTAACTCAAATAAAAACACGTATCTTAGCTAGGCCCATAACCTTAATAAAACCACCAAATGTAACAATAGCTTATGTAGGTTTGTCACATTACTAAAACTTAAAAGATAATTTATGGATTTAGATTTTGAAATTGTTAACATTGACATATATAGCTTAAACAAAACTGAGGCTTTACAACTAGCTTGTCAATATAAAATACAACTCCCACCCATCCCTGAAACCGAAACCCTAGCCAATCTAAGAACAAAATTAGCTTTCACCAAAGATGTTTTCAAGACTGCATTTAGACATCCAAGTTTTGCTGAGGCATTAACAGACTTGTTCTTTAACAACATACTAGAAGACAAAACAAAAGAACAGTTTAGAGATTTGCTAAAATTCAAGAAAATACTTCAAGAACCAACATATGACACTGCACACACTTCTGACAACCTAACACAACCTGGACCTGAACATTCACAAAACCTTTATGAAAACAGGTCAATAATAGAACACGAACAATTGTTACATAGCTTTAATTCGTTAAACTTAAATCAAGAAATCCATCAAAATCACAACCAACCAGAAACCCCTAACACATCAACACAAATCGTATCTCAACCTAAATCATATATAACCAACAAAAACATGGCTGATGAGTCAAAAGAGAAACTTCCCTTAGTAAAAGCAGGCACATACTCAGGTCTTCCTTCAGAAGATGTACATGAATTTATTCAAAAATTCAATATTGCATCAAGGTGCAACCATTGGTCCGAAAAAACTAAAATTGAACTTTTCCCCACACACTTAACGTCTACCCCGTATAAATGGTTTGCACTCTACAAACATGAAAACAATGAAACTAGTTGGGCAAACCTAGAGTCTGAATTTATTAAAGCATTCAGCCCAGTTGCATTAATTGATGACTTACAGACGGTCCTTGAAAATCAAACACAAGGAGAAAATGAATCTCCAATGCAATTCCTATACGAAATCATTCACCTTTCCCACAGAATAGATCCCAATATGAATGATGCAAAAATAATAAAATTCGTAATTCAGGGAATAAAACCGGAGATTTGTAATGACCTAGTGAGAATGGAAAACAACTCACTTAAACAGCTAAACGAAAATCTGCTAAAAATTGAATCTCAAAGAGCTATTAGGAATAAAAATCAGAGAAAATACCAAACCTCAGCTGAACGCGTTACCCTAATAAAACCTAAACCAAAATCGGTAACGTATGAAACTGACGAATTAGACAACTTAAAATTAGAACTTAGGGACATAAAAGATACATTATTAAGCCTCAAGGTCAAACCTGATGAAACAAACTACTCTAGGGACAACCCACACAAAGAAACTTATCATCGTTCAAGATCCACACAAAGAAGAGACATTTCCCCTCATCCCAGATATGACAGGTCAGCTGAAAAATATAGGCCCAGAAGCACTTCTCGAAACTCACAAAATTTATCGAGAAGCTCTTCACCTCACAATTCACATCACTCCAACAGACAACCTATCCCAAGAACCAGATTAAATTATAGATCACCACACCAATCACAAAACACTCCACTCTTTTGTCACATATGTAACAAAAACAATCACGCCACAGAAAATTGTTGGTACAATGCTAGAGCTAACTATAGGAATCCAAAATACTCAAATACACCTTCCAAATTTTGTGCATATTGCAAAAGAAATAACCACACCATTGACCAGTGCTTTAGGCGTCCTGCTAAAAGGGAACAGTTTCCAAAAAACTTCTAAAGCAGGGAAGTCAACTACCACAAAATAGATATTTGGCTTCCCAAAATAAACAAACACACACGAGATATTTCTGGAACACAACTAAACGTTTCCCACATTTCAACAAATCATCAATCTTAGAAGCATCCAATAATTCAAAATTTAATATGTTTTCACCATTAAGCCCTCAATACCAATACAACTTTCCAACAATTGAGGATTCGTTTCGTGTAAAACATAAAGTTAAAGTAACCCCAATAACTAAATCACTTCCTCCAAGAACCACAATAACATCAAGAAATATTCAACACACACAACTAGAGAACCAGACCAACATCATTCCTACAGCTACGGCTGAACCTAAGACGACCTTGCAGCCAGCTGATGGAGAAGATAGCGCACCACAACAAACGCCTACGTCACAAGCGTCGACCCACTGCTGCCTAGGAACACCGTCTCAGCAACTGACGTCACAGCACCGCACAGCTGATCAGCCCAAGACTCAAGATGTGGCACGTACATCTGTTAACTCTTCACGACCTTCAACGTCGGATGACAACAACAGCTTCAGTACGAGTACATCACTTCCAGGAACCTCTACGGATAGACACGTGGATTCATCAACTGCAGGAGTTTGTTTAACAGCTAGTGAAGCAACAACCCTCCAGAATCAAATCGACAAAGAAGTTTTCCAACAAAGTTCTAAACACCTAAATTTGAGAACCCTAATTAAATGTGATAAAAGACAATCTAAATGCACACTATCGGATATTTATGACTTAATTTTTAATGTTAATCAAACAAAAACATTCCCTACATTGACACTAAATATTGATATACCAGAAAATGGACAGACTTATTCAGCTACCTTAGATACTGGTTGCAACTATTGCCTGATAAAATCATCAATTGTAAATAACCTATCCTTTCAAACAGATAACTTACCCTTAATTGTAGCTGCTAACGATCAACCAGTCAAAGTATTAGGAAAACTTTTACTACCAATAACAATTAATGGCTCCGTGTATCCAACCGACTTTTACGTAATTGAAGATTTGGCAACTGACGTAATCTTGGGAAATTGGTTTTTATTCCAAAACTGCATGGAATTGGATTTTAAGAAACAGGAAATCAGACTAACGAATAAAGATAAAGTTCATTGCATCACAATGGACAAATCTTGGTTACTTAATTTAAAACCGTTTGTTCTAACAACTATAGCGGAGTCTAGTAATGACATGGTTGAAATTAAAGTTCCTACGGACACAGTTATTGCTCCCCAACAACACTACAAATTAATGGAAATCTTGCCAGAACATCATCAATATGAACTTGATATAGATTTAAATTACCGAGACAAAAAGAACCTCCACTTTTATATCTCATCAGAAAACGAAAATTCACAAAAGTTTATTTACAACAAAACGTAATATTAGG